CTAGATTCAACACTGATTTGTTATAGAATAGATTAAGGTGAGGAGATTTAAGTGAAGGGGTTTCCGGTGGGTCGGGTAATAAGGTCGGTCGGTTGGATATAATAGGAAGTTGAGGGGTGGGGGTATTTTATTGAGCAACCAGATAATGCCCCTTACAATTTTTTAAGTTATGATGAGTAAATTAATGGCTAGGGTAATTTTAATCCCAAAGTGCAATGGTAAGTAGGGGTGGGCGTTCGGGCAATTCAGATTGGATATAAAAATTTCAGTTTGGATTTTTTATTTTCGAATTGAAAAAATAACAATCCAAATCCAATCCAATAAGCTCGGATTGGATCAGATTTTTTAAATTCGATTTCGAGTTAATCGGCTTGGATATATTGGATTTTCGATTTTGAACTTACAAGTTAAAACGCCTTTTTTTTTAACAAAAATGAAGTACTCATGTTAAATTGCCTAAAAAGTTCCTCATGTGCTCACCGCAATCATCCAAATAAAGTATTCAAGTAATTAAATTATTATCAAGGAAATGCAATAGAGACATTAATACGGCCGATAAGAAGTAACAATAGTAAAATCATGTCTAAATAGAAAGTATTCTGATAGTAACTTAATAATTAATACTGAATATATGAGATAATATCTAATGTGTAGGGTATTGAACTTATTACTATTAGCATATGGATAATTGAATAAATATAAAGTATAAAAATTTTGAATTTTCGGACATCCAAAAATTCGAAGTACCAAATCTAATATCCAATTCGAAATCCAAAATTTTTAAAAATTAAATCCAAAATTCAATCTGTAATCCGAAAATCCAAAAAATTTGGATTTCGAGTTTGCCCAAACTATGCCCACCCCTAAATTGGTAAGGATATGGATACTAAAAAGGTGAAATGAGGGTAAATATAACTGATTGTTAGCAGTAAAGAGGTAAATATGACCCTTTTCCGTTTATATTTTTCAACTTACTATGAAAACTTTTTTTTTTTTGGAATAACTTGCATTTCTTATTCATCAATCCAAAACAGAGTACATTGGTTTGAGGGTGGAGTGTATAATCCACAAACACCCTTATCTAACATGAAAGATAGAACATGCAATGTTGTGAGAGTTGAGTAGAAGAGAACTCATGGGTATTGGATACTTTAGTTTGTACGAGTTATCAAATAAAGTTTCCAACCCTAACAAAAACATACCAATAAAAATAAAATATAACATTCTATTCATGAATCTAAAACTCATGGTGGCTCAAAGGTAATATATGTTCTTTTATCAACAACTCGAAAAGCAAGTAAAGCTCCATTTGTCCATGTTCATTATGCCTCTGACCTGCCTTGGTACCTCATCAAAATTATGGAAGAGTTGATTTTGTAAAGACTCATGGCTTAAAGAAGCTAATTTATCCGCAACTTGGTTGCTTTCCCTGAAGCAGTGATTCAAATTAAAAATTGTTTGTTCCCTTAGACTTCTAAGCTCATTAATCTCATCTGAAATTCTCCATGGGACACAATTGTTCCCATTAAGGCAATCCACTAATAGCTTTGAATCGGTCTTTACCAAGATACAATGTAAACCATTGTTAATACACCATTTGATGCCAAACAACAGTGACTGTGCTTCTGTCCAATTGCTAGTTCCAGGGCCTAAATTAATAGTGAACGCAGCAATCAAGCATCCCAAATTGTCCATAACTCCTCCTCCTCCACATAGACCATTTTTACAGCTTCCATCTGAGTTTAATTTCACAAAAAATGCTGGAGGTTTGTTCCACTTGGTAATGATGGTCTTCTTGAATCCAATATTAATGTTGAATAGATGGCAGACGCTGCTCCTAATAGGCTTGGTGTTGAATTTTGGGAACTGGGTGTTAACTATCTATGAAATTGAGAAACAAATAAGGGACATGGTCATCCTCACATTGAGTCTTTCAGAGCCATATTTAACTCCACATATAGCTTTCCAAATTTCCCATGTTGTGACGATTGGTAAACAGTTTATCAAGCATGCTTCAACAGGATTCTTTGTCTTTGCTTTCCACCAATTGACAAGTAACATTCGAAAAGACACCCCTGTAAAGGGAATTCCCTTAACACCACATATAATCCTCCATATATTCTGTGCAAAGGATCTCGAACAAAAAAGATGATCTATAGTTTCATTTACAGGATTTATGCAACAACAACACCGAGAAGTGATAGATAGACCCATCCTGAGAACCCTAGCATCAGTCGGCAATCTGTCTCTCAATGCTCTCCATACAGTAAAACACATCTTGAAGGGCACCTGCTTTTGCCATGTCTTGGAATCAATCCAAGATTGTCTTTATACTTTCCTGAATATATTCCAAGCTGAGGCTACGGAGAATGCTCCTTTCTCATTGGCAGTCCACACAGGAGTATCTTGAACCAAGGGCCTCAACCTAATCTGCATAGCTTCAATTGTAGCCATAACATGGTCAGGTAATAGACAACCCAACCATCCCACCACCACTGATCATTAACTATAACATCAGAGAGCATAATGTTCCTCGGTTTGCTACCCTCTGGAAGAAAATTACACAATGGACCTAAGTTGGTCCAATTGTCAAACCAAAACGCAATGTCTCCTTTGCCAATCTTCCATAATATGTGCGTATCTACTTCCCTTTTAATCTTTCACATAGCATTCCGGGAATGTGAGTTTCCAGAATACCATTGCTTAATTAAAGGGTGTGACCTCTGAAAATATTTGACCATTAGGAAATTCTTCCACAGAGAGTCAGTAGTCCTTAAATTCCACCATTGCTTTGCTGTGAATGCGTTACAAGTATCCTGCAACTTCCTAAAATTAGCTCCTCCTTCAGAGTATGGCATGCAAAGCTTGTCCCATGAATCCCAATGAAATCTTTTCTTCTCTTCTGATTTTCCCCAAAAGAACCTAGCCAACATTCTTTCTATTTGGTTCAAGACTCCTTTAGGAGGGTGAATGGCTGCTAAAAGATGGACTGGAAGGGCTAACCAAACATGTCTGATCAGCATAGCTCTACCACCAGTGGATAAAAATTTGGCATGCCAACCTGAAATTTTCTGCAACACTTCAGTGACCAACTCAGAGAAGATGGCTATTTTTTCCTACCAACATACAAGGGGCAACCAAGATATTTTATAGGAAACTCCTTATGCTCCATTCCAGTAATCTCCTTAATTTCTGAACTGGCNCTATTTCTTAAAGGAATGCACATTCCAATGTTGTTTTTAATTCCTGTTTTGTCTTTTCTGATCCAAATGTAAGAGAGAAGTTATGGCACTATAGATTAGGCCACTTACCTTTGAGTAATATGAAGAAAATTTCATCAGATTGCATTCCTTTTTGTTCTACTTTCTCTAGTCCTTGTGCTATTTGCCCTTTGGCAAGACAATCTAAGCTTCCTTTTCCCACAAGTTCTATATCAACCAAGAAAGCTTTTGAAATGATACATGTGGATACCTGGGGACCTTATAACACCCCTACTTATGATAATTTTACCTATTTCCTTACCATTGTGGATGATTTTACTAAAGGTACTTGGACTTACTTGTTAAGTACCAAATCCAATGCATTTGCAGTTCTCAAGTCCTATTTAGTTATGGTAGAAAGACAATTTCAAACAAAGGTGCAAATTGTTAGAACAGACAATGCTTTTGAGTTAGGGAGTGGCAAGACACAATCAGAATTTTTTCAATCACAAGGAATTGTTCACCAAACCACTTGTGTACATACTCCACAACAAAATGGAGTTGTGGAGAGAAAGCACAAGCATTTGTTAGAAACCTCCAGGGCTTTGTTGTATCAGTCACATTTACCCATAGCATATTGGGGGGATTGTCTTCACACTGCTATCTACTTAATCAACAGATTCTCTTCAAGAATTCTACAATCTAAGACACCTTATGAGAAACTTTTCAAAACCAAGCCAAACTATTCCATGTTAAGGTGTTTTGGTTGTTTATGCTTTGCTTCTACTCCACCATATCACAGAACTAAGTTTGCACCTAGGGCTGTAGCTTGTGTTTTCTTAGGTTATCCACATGGTAAGAAGGGTTATAAATTGCTTAGTCTCAAATCTATGAGAACTTTCATCTCAAGGGATGTTGTGTTTCATGAGGAATTTTTTCCTTTTGCTTCAATTGCTACCAGTCTATCCTCTAATCCTCCTCTGCCTACTGCTAGTCTCTATCCTGCTCATCTCCCGTTTCAGATATCACCCCAGGTGTTCCATTTTCTCATGCCTCCAACACTCCTCTCACTTCACCTGTGACTAGTTTTCCTACTCCCTCACCTACCTCAACTCCCTTACCTACATCACCTGAAACCTCTGCACCTATACCTTCTAACTATACCTCTGAAACCTCCACTCCATCACCTAGTCCTATCCCTATATTTCCTTCCTCTGACACTGAACTCCACTTAGAAGATCTCATCAGAAAATCCTCCAGGCAACACAACCCTCCTGCCTATCTCAAGGATTACATTTGCAATGCTCTCCATCTCACAAATGTGAGCAGTTCCTGCTTCCTCACTCCTTTGACCCCTCATTTTGTCTCCTTTGCTGGACTCTCTTCTACCAATCAACATATGCTCAACTCTATTTCTAACCTTCATGAACCTGTTAGTTTTACACAGGCAACACACCATCCAGGCTGGCAGAATGCTATGGCAAAGGAGATTGAGGCTCTTGAACTCAATAAGACATGGGATGTGATAGAGCTACCACCAGGGAAGAAGGCTTTGCCATGTAAATGGGTTTACAAAATTAAACAACATTCTGATGGTTCTGTGGAAAGATTGAAGGCCAGGTTGGTTGTGAGGGGAGACATTCAGAGAGAGGGCATTAGTTTTAATGAAACATACTCCCCTGTGGTAAAGATGACTACCATAAGATGCATACTTGCTACAGCTGTTAAAAAGGGATGGGGACTCTATCAATTAGATGTAAATAATGCATTTTTACATGGGGATTTAATGAAGAAGTCTACATGAAATTTCCAGCTGGTATCACCCCACCTTCACCTAATCATGTGTGCAAATTGAAGAAGTCTCTATATGGGCTTCGACAAGCCTCTCGTTAGTGGTATGACAAGCTCACGACAGCCTTACGTTTTAAAGATTTCACTCATTCTTTGAATGATTATTCATTATTTTTCAAAAGGACAGGTTGTTCTATCTCTATTGTCGCAGTGTATGTAGTCGACATTTTATTAACAGGTAATGATGAAGCTGAACTACATGGACTAAAGGAATTTCTCAATCAGGAATTCAAAATTAAGGATCTTGGTTTCTTACATTTTTTTCTTGGGATGGAAGTCATTCGAGAACCTGAAGGTTTGATTTTATCCCAGCGGAAGTTCACTTTGGATCTCTTGGAGGAATTTTCATCTCTGCACTTGACTCCTGCCTCCTCACCTCTTGATTCTTCTATCAAATTGCTAGCCAAAACAGGGGATCCTGTGCCGGATCCAACTCTATATCGTCATCTTCTGGGTAAGCTTAATTATCTTACCCACACCAGGTCAGATTTGTCTTTCACTGTCCAGCATCTCAGTCAATACATGCAAGACCCACGCCAACCACATCTCGATGCTGCTTATCGAGTCCTCCACTATCTCTTAAAAGACCCAAGTCTTGGACTTTTTATGTCTGCCTCACCTTCATTCCAGCTTCTCGCCTTTTGTGACTCAGATTGGGGTACTTGTCCTGAAACTCGCCGGTCAGTCAGTGGATTCTACATCTCGCTGGGTTCCTCTCCCATTTCTTGGAAGTCCAAGAAACAAACCTCCATTTCTCTTAGTTCTGCTGAGGCTGAATATCGTTCCATGAGACGGGTTGTAGCTGAACTCACTTGGTTGATTCGTCTTTTTGAGGATCTATCTATCCCCATTTCCTTACCTGTTCCTCTTCATTCTGATAGCCAAGCTGCGCTTCACATCGCGAAGAACCCAGTCTTCCATGAACGTACCAAGCATGTCGAAATCGACTGTCACTTTGTGCGACAGCAATTTCTTGCTGGCCTTATCTCTCTTTCTTTTGTTCGATCTACCTCTAAGCTTGCCGATCTCTTCACTAAACCCCTCACAGGTCCTCTTCATCGGAATCTATTGGCAAGTTGGGTGTTCGTACCTCCCCTCCAACTTGAGGGGGGGTGTTGATGTTGCCCTAATTTCTGAGACAACTTAGAGAAGACGAAGTGCTCGATGATTCTAAGGACCTTGCTTTGTTTTGTCCGAATAACCTATGTTTTGATATGCAGAGAAGAATTGGACTTGGGCCTCGTTTCTACTGGGCCTTATTCTATTTGGGCTCATTACTGGACTGCCGCTCTAAAAACAACTAGAAGTCCAACTCTTCTAGAAGATCAGATATTGTAATTATTTTACCTTTTGTATTTATCTTATTTTCAGTTATAGGAAATAAAAGTTAGTTATAGTGTAGTCAATTAGAGAATGCCACCTGGCTCTTCTGTTTTACCCTAGATTCTTTTTCATTGTATTTATACATCATCCCTGTACAACAAAATTCATTCAATCAAATACAGAAAAGGAAATTCTTCCAACGTTTGTTTTTACATTCCTGCATTGTCTCCATCTTCTGTACTTCTACCTCTATAGGACACATAGTTTGATCATTCATCTGTTGGGGCTCCTTAGGAATAGAGGTATCAATATTCTTCTTTTGCATTCTCCCTTTATGTCTTCAATTAATTAGTATCCTTTGAGCCACTGCTGGTCGGTACGTCTGAGACATTCATATGTCCATTTGCTTTATTCATGCCTTTTTTCCTACCTTTTCCATTGTATTTCATTAGACCCTTTTCCTTGGACATCAATACTCTCCTTCTCCTTTCCTTTAGCACTCTCATTCACTTTTTTTGCAGCATTTATAACACCTTGTCGTAATTCCGGATGAAGAATTCTGCATTTTAGGTCACTATGCCCTTGCATTTTACAATGACTGCAATATTCAGGGATAGATTCATACTCAACTTTCTGGATGATGGATTCCATTTGGCCGTTTTCATTCATAATATCAATTTGTACTTCATGAAGCAAAGTTTTGGTGACATCAATTTCAATCTTGATTTTGGTCGTGGTAGGTCTTGTTTTGGAAAGAGTGGCTTTATCCATAATGATTGGGATACCTATTGGTTCCACAATTCGATAAAGCGCATCCCACTCAAAGTAGTGCGATTTCAGATCCGGGAGATTGATCCAAATAGGAGCAAGAGTAGATTCTATTTCCGGCTTGAAATTAGGAGTCCACTTTTGTAATTTCATTTCCATGTCACAGATTGTCAAAAAAGATCCAGCTTTAACATTTTTGTGATCTTCTTCAAGGTCAAAATCGATAAAAACATGTTGCATACTGTAAGCCCCAATTTGCACGGCCCCCTTTAAATGAATCGATTTGGGTAACTCCGCTCTGATTCGATCTATGGCAGGTCTTGTCCTTGGGAATTTACCCACTATAGTGAGTCTACAAGCTTCTGCTAATAGGCCGCCTTCCTCCTTTGTGAACCTCACCACCGGTCTACCTTTAACAAAATCGTACGACCTGTGGTGAAGTTGCAGTTTTTTTCTTATTGCTCTGAAGCTGGAGCCTCCTAGTTGTTAGCAGCGGCAATGGAGGTGAAATCACACAAATCTGAGCTAGGGTTTGAAAGTGAGAGAAGAGAGCTTTTGATTATTATCTCAACTGAAAAGAATAAAAAATAATTCGTCTGTTACAATTGAGGAGCCCAAACTATATATATATATATAT